GTACCTGTCTTGGCTCTGTATGAAATAGAATAGAGCTGTATCGCTATCGCCTTTCTGTCAAGTATCAGTCTGTTGGGAGAGGAATTTCCAGAAAAGGCAGATCAGTTACGCACTGCCCAGGCCTGCCTGAGGAACGGGGGAAGGTTGGCTTGATGCTCTTGCTGTGTCAAAGTGAGATCACTGCTGGATCTAGGTGTGGTGTTCAGCTATGAAAGAGCTTTTGATTGGAATTAGCGTAGGGAATGGCACAATAGCAAACTGCACACAAATCATAATTGTCATTTTGTTGTTTATGGTTGCCCAGAGACATTAGAACACAATGCTTTAAATCAGTGCACACTACTTTTCTGTACGTTTTTTTAAAATGTAATTTTTTATAGAAGTCTTTAAAGGGGTCATATGATGTTGCTAAAAAGAACATTATTTTGTGTATTTGGTGTAATGAAATGTGTTTATGCGGTTTAAGGTTCAAAAAACACATTATTTTCCACATACTGTACAATATTGTTTCTCCTCTATGCCCTGCCTTTCTGAAACGCGTCGATTTTTACAAAGCTCATCGGTCTGAAAAGCGAGGTGTGCTCTGATTGGCCAGCTATCCAGTGCGTTGTGATTGGCCGAATACCTCAAGCGTGTGACGGAAATGTTACATCCCTTACCATATTGTGATGCCTGCAGCAACCACATGTAACGACCGCGGGCTGGACTCCGCTTCGTCCACGGTGAAAGGCGATCCGGCGATCCACAGCGCGAAGTTGATGTATTTCCTCAGCGACCAGCATGGATCAGCTCTAGACATGATGAAGCGGATATCGTCCTCATTTGGAAGGCCAAACAAAGTAGTTTCGCTTTCACAACAAAACACACAGCACCTAGAACAGCGCGTGTTAGAACGAGCCGTTTTAGGTAGGCGTGGTTGACTCTTAACTTTTATAAAGAATATCTCTTTGGATTTGAGACTTTAGTCTTTGCAACTTTACAGATCTTCTTTATGCACCAAGAGCTTGTAACACTCCAAAGAGAAAGGAAAAATTGAAATCGCATCATATGAGCCCTTTAATGCTCACCAAGGCTGCATTTATTTGATAAAAAATGCAAATGCAAATATTGTTTTATAATATTACAATTTAAAATAACTGTTTTCTATTTAAATATATTTTAAAATGCAAATTTGGGATGGCAAAGCTGAATTTTAAGAGACCATTCAGAAATCATTCTAATATGCTGATTTAGTGCTCAAGAAACATTTCGTATTGTCAGTGTTGAAAATAATTGTTGTGCTGCTTAATTTTTTTTGTGGAAACCATGATTTTTTTTCAGAATTCTTTGATTAATTTAAAGTTTTCTTTGAAATATAAATCTTTTGTAGCATTATAAATGTCTTGACTGTCACTTCCAACCAATTTAATGCATCCTTGCATTCAAATATTAACTTTTGAATAGTAGTGTATGAGTATGAGGAATGACATGTTCTCTCATATTCAAAGGAAACTCTGCTACTGCTCCATTCTGAGCATTACATACATTAATAAATAAAACAATTGCATGTTAACACAAATCACCTTAGGTTTTACAGTGCTGAATGACTACTATTCATTACGAAAAGAAATAAATATGGAATTTGTGAAATTTAATTTTGTGGAAGACATGATCAAAAATACAATTGTTAAATGAAAATGAATGACAGAGGATGAATGACTGCAGATTTACTTGTATTAATTTTAAAAATAAAAACAGAAAATTAATGATGAGATGCTCTGTCATAGGAAATAAAATCTAATGATGAGTAACATGTCACTCTCTCCTCACAGATCTGTATCAGGTTTCCCACAGTCATGGATAAACTGGAAATATCAGGGAATTTTAAAATTGTACTTTCCTGTAAAAATGTCATTGGAGTTCAAAGAATCATAAAGACAGTCAGACATTTCTATAGTGAATATGTGTTTTATTTATGCTCAGCTCGGAACAATGAGCAATTATATCATCATACTAACACATCATCTTCACAACAGTACCTAAACTACCCAAACGTTATTTTACTTTATATATATCTTGATATAAAAAGACAAGTTTTGAAAGAACTTTACAGTAGATCGGTAACCGGGTGCAATTACAATTGTGATTACACACTTCACTCACATACTCTGCTCCAAATGCAGCAAATACTTCATCAGATGGATCATTTGCTTACTTGGAGTTATTTGTATTGTCACACACAGGTTTTCATTCCACTCAAAGCTTTCCACATTCCTCACAGTCATGAACTTTCCCATTAACACGACAGTCTAGTGGGAAAACATGCAGTCAAGGTTGTTCTGCTGTTTATTTCCATTCGAGCTTGCGGTGGCTGCATTGTGTGAACTTGATATGTAGGTGAGCATTCCATTCCTCAGGGACAAAAGCTTGATTGGATGGAAGGAAACGGTGATAGCGGCCCGGCCCATTAGCTCCTTTATTTCTCAAGAGAAAGCCAGATAAGTTGTTTGGCCAATGCACCTCTACTCCAACTTTAGCATCTCCTCGAGCAACATTTTAATAGCTGGCATGTTCCTAGCTGAAACCGATAGGTGTCATTGTTAGCTGCTTTTTTTCCCTATTGCTTGGCATTGAATTTGATCGTAGATAAAGAGGCAAGAATACACCAGAAAACCTGAGCATACGCTGTGGTGTCACTCGTCAAACTAAAGTCATTTGTTAAGATGTCAGAAGGATGATTCCCAAAGACCTAACGCTGTTTACTGTAATCCATTACTAATTGGAGTACTAGGAAACTTTAAGTTCTCCATTACAGTAAAAATAGATTGAATATTGACGTCAATAGACTATGTCAGTAGTTTTGCTTTGGGACCCAGATTTTGTGCCCCAAAATGGTTTATTATATAAAATGAAACAATGAAATAAAAATAACAAAATGTAAAATATTTACAGACTCAATGGTAATACAACAGAAGACATACTACATTGTTCACATACTGTTTTTCACCTATCATATGTAGTATGGAGGTAGGCATATTCAGACATGATTGTTCCCCAGAACTGATGTCTCTGACCCTATCAGTACATTTTCTTGAGTTGCGACACATCATTTGAGAACTACTGATTTAAATCAATCCCAAACACAAACTGTTTCTCAAACAAGAATGTGGGTGCCAGTGTTATTTGGGTGGGAGTCAGGTAATTTACACTACAGTCACAAATGTGCACTCAGACAACTAGAGAATGCAGTGCACATGTACCAACAAGTCTCATAACAAATGATTGAAAATTCCCTGCTGAATAAATTTAAGATGGAGTACGAATGCCTTCAGGATACAAGTAAAATGAGGAACTTGAGTTGTCACTCATTTTGAAACTTTGCAGAAACCACAGGAATTCAACACCACAAACTATCAGATGCATGATTTGGGTGGTTAATTGAGTCATTTTGGTCTTGGGCCGTCCCTTTGAAGATATTTAGATCATATGTGAGAACATCAGCACTGCCTGAGACACATTTGCTTTGCTATATTCGCTATATCATGTCATGCAATAATTTAGAGTCATGTGCAGAGGCAGCTGTCTTGAAGACTACTACTCAAATATCATTATTATCTGAGAAACTTTTAGCGTAATGAAAGACACTTTGGTCTTTCCTGTCCTTTTGCAATGACTCTGTAGTTAACAAAATATTTGGATAAAATGGGACAAAATTCTGCATATACACTCTAAACCATTCCATAATTGCTTGCATTTCTGGTTGTCAGAATACACTGTGAGATCCATGATTTAAGACCCAGCTGTTGTGTAACCCAGATTTATGACACACCTTCAGACAACACCACAGAGCTGCTGATTGTGCAGTCACTCCGGAGTTTCATCAAGAGTTACTAGAATGTTAAAGCAATGCAAACAGATTTCCCTATGGGCTGACCTCTTTTTTTTTTTGCTTTTCTCCTCCAGGTATCCCAGAAACGGGTTGTTCTTAGGACTCCAGACAGGTTGTATGAGGATGACTCTGAGGTTGCCAGCCAGGTGTGAAACCATGGACCCCTTATGACAACAGTCCTATTTATTCAATAATTTATTGAGTTGATGGATTAAAGTATAGACTTTTTTAACATCGAGAAAAATATATAGGGATATGTCAAGAGAGTCATCACTTTCGATGAAATGCCTTGTCCCAAAATATATGAGTTTTATACTGTGAAAGACGATGTTTACAAAAAATGTTTTATAGATTTTTTTTTATAGATTAACTTACTTATTGACATTTTGTATGATGAAATAAATCTAATTTGTTACTAAGTGTTTTTTTATGTTGTTTGGTTAGTGTGTGTTGATACTAAGATGGATAAAGTGATATAAATAAAGATTCTGTTTGTTTGTAATCGATGTTCATTCTAACCTTGAGTTATTAAACTGACTTTTGTATATAGCCTACATTGATTTTTGTAAATGGTTGCTCTAAAAACAAATATACATGTCCAGATGATAAATGCTGATTAGAGTAATAAAACATCATCTTTGAAATCTTGGGAATTTAGTAAACCAATGATTTTGGTGACATGATCACAGCACCATTCTTGAAAATCGTGAATTGGAGTGAAAACATAACACTGCAAAACGTGAAATTAAAGGGTTAACTATTGTATTACATAGATTAGCCTATATAAATTAAAGAAATGTTGTCAATATCCATTTAGATAGAGAAAAAAATGAATTAATGTAGCAACGTAAGTAGTGTCTAAACGGGGTCGTCACGTGGCAACTGTTACTTTTCTCACCGCTGATCAGGATGAGCCTATCACAGCGATTACTGCATTATCACCGTTTACTTATGAATTTAACGCTTCTTTCACATTTTATTAAAAATAATGGGGCGGAGGGGTATCATTCGAATGTAAGATACTAATCATTTTAATTAATATATCTAAAATACTGTACATTGTAATATAAAAATGTTTACAATAAGACAAAAACGTCCTGAGATTTGAATGTGGCCTTATAAGAGAATTTGACTGTCTTGCCCCTCTCGGGCCTCCTTGACAAAGACAGGTATGTCTTGTATGAATAACAGATAGTTGTTAACTAGTAGCATTTCACTTTTTTTTTTGCGATTTATATTTTTAGTCACCTGTCTTGTATTCACGACAAACAACACTGCGCTGCAATAACGCAGGGAACTCCGGCATAAATCCCATCGATATGCTATAATGATTAGTCTTCCAGCGCGTGGACTGTTTTACAGTGGCTCATCATTCGTCAGTGAATGAACAGATTGGCTGCCGTTAGCCGGTGTAGACCATAGACTGTGGTGTAGACCCGTCAGTTCTATTATTGCAGATTTTTGTCAGCAGTACAATGGATAAAACATTTAAGTTGTATTCGGACAAAGCCGAAGACGTCGCTACCTCCTCTAGTTTCCGCCAGTTTAAAATAGATCATTTTCATCTCGATCTTAAAGTGGACTTTGAGCAGAAAACCATATCAGGTACCGAAACAATACAGCTGCAGTGCATTCAGGATGGTCAAAGTGAGTTACAGCTGGATATTCATCCAACACTGTCTGTACATGAGATCACGTTCAGTCATAATGCACGTGACTGGACCACAACAGAATTTCTGATTCGAGACTTCACCAATTATGGGACAACTCTGGACGTGAAGTTTCCAAAACCTTTCAACTCAGATGACAAACTTCAACTTGCAATCAAATATACAGCTACTGATGGACCAGGGGTAAGCATGCAAACTGCTTTTAATATTTTTTGTTTATTAATTTCCATATTGACAGCTCATGACAGCTTGAGCATTTCACTATGATCAAAACTGAAACCTGTTCACATGTCATGAGACTCTCGAGGAAGAATCTTTGGTTTCTCTTTCTGAACCTGTTTTTGGCAGCCTTTGTTTACTTCTTCAAATAAGCACTAATAATGCTAAAATGGTTAATTTATTGTACAAGCAAGCATGCATCACTTCTCTGTAGATGTCATGGCTGGACCCAGTGCAGACGGCTGAGAAGAAGCTGCCATTCTTGTACACATCTGGGTTCCCTGTCCTGAACCGCAGCCTGTTTCCCGGCTTCCATACGCCCATGACAAAGAGCACTTACTCGGCTGTTGTGCAGGTAATGTCTCACCAAACGCATGTATCTTCTTACAGGTGTGTTGGCTGGAACCAGAGCAGACTGCGGGAAAGCTCAAGCCTTATGTTTTTACTCAAGGCCAGGCTGTTCTCAACCGCTCCTTCTTCCCTTGCTTTGATACTCCAGGAGTAAAAAGCACCTACTCTGCAACAGTTCAGGTGAGGCCATTGGGCCGGTCGAATTTACAGATATAAAGAGAATATGGGTGTATAGACATAATAGTTTACATAATCTGATTGGATTTTATTAATCAGGAGTCAATTCGATTGCAAAAAATGTTCTGTATATAACAGGTGTTTTGGGGTAGAAAAATAAAAGTTCTTAGTGATATACTGGTAATTGTTCTGTTTTTTGTTTTTTTTTCATAATGACAAAATAATTGTCATATAAATCATATTTTGGGGTTATAAGGAAATAATACTTTTATTCAGCATGGACACATTCAGTTTATCAAAAGTGGCAATGTTACAAAAGATTTCTATTTCAAATAATGTTTGTAATGTAAATAATATAAAAAAAATAACAATGAACTGTTTTGAACATTGATAATAATAAGAAATGTTTATTGATCAGCAGGTCATATTAGAATGATTTCTGAAGGATCATGTGACACTGAAGACTGGAGTAATTACAGCTGAAAATTCAGCTTTGCCATCACAGGAATACATTAAATTTATAATAAATATATTAAATTTGTAAAATATATTAAAATGGACAACAGTTAAACGGTAGAAAACAAAAATGGAAAAGTTATTTTAAATTGTAATAGTATTTCACAATGTGCTGTTGCAAAATATACTGAATATGCTCAAATTTATTTGACTGATAAAGTACATCCAACCTTGGAGAACATGAGACTTCTTTCAAAAATAAAAAATTCTTACAGATCCCATATTGTTGAACCATATATGTGACCCTGGACCACAAAACCAGTCTTAAGTCGCTGGGGTGTTGTGCAGGTAATGTCTCACCAAACGCATGTATCTTCTTACAGGTGTGTTGGCTGGAACCAGAGCAGACTGCGGGAAAGCTCAAGCCTTATGTTTTTACTCAAGGCCAGGCTGTTCTCAACCGCTCCTTCTTCCCTTGCTTTGATACTCCAGGAGTAAAAAGCACCTACTCTGCAACAGTTCAGGTGAGGCCATTGGGCCGGTCGAATTTACAGATATAAAGAGAATATGGGTGTATAGACATAATAGTTTACATAATCTGATTGGATTTTATTAATCAGGAGTCAATTCGATTGCAAAAAATGTTCTGTATATAACAGGTGTTTTGGGGTAGAAAAATAAAAGTTCTTAGTGATATACTGGTAATTGTTCTGTTTTTTGTTTTTTTTTCATAATGACAAAATAATTGTCATATAAATCATATTTTGGGGTTATAAGGAAATAATACTTTTATTCAGCATGGACACATTCAGTTTATCAAAAGTGGCAATGTTACAAAAGATTTCTATTTCAAATAATGTTTGTAATGTAAATAATATAAAAAAAATAACAATGAACTGTTTTGAACATTGATAATAATAAGAAATGTTTATTGATCAGCAGGTCATATTAGAATGATTTCTGAAGGATCATGTGACACTGAAGACTGGAGTAATTACAGCTGAACATTCAGCTTTGCCATCACAGGAATACATTAAATTTATAATAAATATATTAAATTTGTAAAATATATTAAAATGGACAACAGTTAAACGGTAGAAAACAAAAATGGAAAAGTTATTTTAAATTGTAATAGTATTTCACAATGTGCTGTTGCAAAATATACTGAATATGCTCAAATTTATTTGACTGATAAAGTACATCCAACCTTGGAGAACATGAGACTTCTTTCAAAAATAAAAAATTCTTACAGATCCCATATTGTTGAACCATATATGTGACCCTGGACCACAAAACCAGTCTTAAGTCGCTGGGGTATATTTGTAGCAATAGCCAAAAATACATTGTATGGGTCAAAGTGATCGATTTTTCTTTTATGCCAAAAATCATTAGGATATTAAGTAAAGATCATGTTCCATGAAGATATTTTGTAAATTTCCTACCGTAAATATATCAAAACTTAATCTTTAATTAGTAATATGCATTGCTAAGAATTTCATTTGGAGAACTTTAAAGGCGATTTTCTCAATATTTAGATTTTTTTGCACCCTCAGATTCCAGATTTTCAAGTAGTTGTATCTCGGCCAAATATTGTCTCAATTTGAAATGAGAAATTGACCCTTATGACTGGTTTTGTGTTCCAAGTTTTGTGGTCCAGGGTCACATATATAATAATTGCAATGTACAAATATATCATATGTTATAAAATGCTGTTGGTCAAAAATGTGTAAAATGTATTATTGGCCAGTTCATTTTGATTGTAAATCTTACTTTTGATTTATTTTGTCTGCAATAGGCTCACATTAGTTTCTCAAGAAGAAAGAGTACAAGTATTAGATCCGATCCAGTTTTTCTCTAGCCTACTTGATAAGGCTCAGAGTTTATTTCTTATCATTGCACTTTGAACTGTCTCATAAACACAGTAGCTTCTTTCTTTGATGCTCCTCACTGCTATTATCAGGTTCCTGATGGCTTCACAGCAGTTATGAGCGCTAGTAAATGGGAACAGAGGGAAGCAGACAGCACTTTCCTGTTCACCATGGAGCATCCCATTCCTGCATACCTGGTAGCTCTGGCAGTAGGGGACCTGCGGTCTGCTGAGGTGGGACCCAGGTAAAAAATCCCGAATCTTTTATAAGGAAATCGTATCACAAGGTATAAAGTCTTTAATGCTCTTCTGAAATATGTGTTTTTGATGAAAGATATTTAATAACATTATACATGGACTATATTATAAATGAAGCATTTAAATAATATGTATTATTATTATAATAATGACTTTCAACTGCATTTTCAGGACACGTGTCTGGACCGAGCCTTGTTTACTGCAGGCTGCCAAGCAGGAGTATGATAATGTGATTGAAGAGTTCCTGTCTGTGGGAGAGAAACTGTTTGGACCCTACGTTTGGGGAAGGTGGTATATGCTTTTTTGAACAGCTTCATAATTCCGATAGATCTGACTTTATATAACCCGAAAAGCACTTTTATTCAGTAGTGATTATATTCCAATAGACATGTGTTTTGATTTGTTGTGATCGTTTAGATATGACGTGCTGTTCATGCCTTTCTTATTTATTCCTCTAATGGCAAAACTGAATTTTCAGAAGCCATTACTTCAATCCTCTGTGCAGTGTTATTTTAGAATTATATCGTTATAGTTTTTATTAATATTTTGAATTAGCGTCATTTGAGTTTTTGTTCAATATTCAGTAGTTCCCTTTCATGGGAACTTCGAACTGCGTCCACTAGTGGTCCAAAGTCCTCTTTTCAGATGAGAGCACTGGCCGGCGATCGTTCTCTCGCTGACGTCATTGTACACGAGATCTGCCACAGCTGGTTTGGAAACCTCGTCACCAACGCCACCTGGGGTGATTTCTGGCTGAACGAGGGCTTCACCATGTATGCTCAGCGCAGGGTTTGCAGGGAGCTGTATGGTATGCTATACATTATTTGACCCTGTATTTCACTAATAAAGTATTCAATTAAAAGCGCCATTTGATTCTCAGGAGAGGCTTATACGTGTTTGGAGGCGGCGACCGGTAAAGCTCTTCTCCGTCAGCACATGGACAACACTGGAGAAGACCATCCTCTCAATAAACTACGGGTTAAGATCGAACCAGGTCGGCCACCATTTTTAATTAGACATTGTAGGCAGAAAAAAAGATGGCAGTCTTGCATAACTTGGTTATTTTGATTGCAGAATTGTTTGTAACAGCCTCGTATGTCTTTTCTCTGCAGGTGTTGATCCTGATGATACCTACAATGACACGCCCTATGAGAAAGGTTTCTGCTTTGTTTCCTACCTTGCCCACCTCGCAGGAGATCAGTCACGCTTTGACGCATTCCTCAAGGTTACTTGAACAATAAGTTTACAGAGACTGTTCTTAATTAATACTATTTAAAAACATATATATTAACATATGTTAAGACTCTTATGCTCACTAAGGCAGCATTTATTTGATCGGTGTTGCTCCCTCAGCTAAATAACTGCTAGCTGTTCCACCATTAGAACATGTAGGTCGAGCTCCCTCTCGATTGAGAGCTGGAAGTTTGTTCCCTCAGCTACAGATTTACTGCTAGCCACTCCAGCATTATAAGCCTTAGATCGAGTTGATAACTTCTCAAACATAGCGTTTTGGGATGCACCATTTCCATCTATGGGCTGCTCTAAAGAACGGAAAGGAGGACTAAGAATCTCCAACGACAACTGGCAGTGCTACATTTGCTACAAGTGCCTGCACTTCAGCATCCGTCCATCTATCGCTGTTCTCCATACTTGCGAAATAAGTTGACACAATGTTTACAGTATGTTTACACGGCGTTTTAAATCATGGCGGGTGAGGGCGTTTTCATACGCGTTTGGCCAATCAATGTCTACTTACGTCATGATTAGTACCAGTTGTGCTGGTTAGACCCTGCTCCGGAGTAGGAGCTAATTTGGTTCTCGAAAAAGGCAGTCCGGTACTAAAATCGCACCCAGTTCCAGCGGTGCGAAATGCCCTTTTATTTTATTGCAGCTTTATTTCAATTACCAGATATATTTTAGTTAACGATAATAGCCTTGCTTCAGTTTCACATCTCTTGGTATTAAAAAACAATTGTGCTGCTTAATATTTTTGTGGAAACTGATACATTTATTTTAAATAGTTTTTTGTAACAATTTAAAGTTTTCTTTTTATTATTTAATGCATCTTTGCTAAATAAAAATTTATTTATTAAAAAATAAATCTTTCTGACCCAAAACATTTGAATGTCAGAATGAATGAAAGTATGTAAACAAGTATGATAAAACAGCAATTCACTTGTATCTCTTCAAGGCTTATGTGGACAAGTTCAAGTTCAGAAGTGTGTTGGCAGAAGATGCGTTGGAGTTTTACCTGGAATATTTTCCAGACCTGAAAGAAAAGAATGTCCACAAAATTGAAGGTGCGGAAAAAGACCATTAGTAGCATTTCTTTCATTTCTTCATTTCTTTCATAGTAGCATTTCATTGTAAAATCACAAAAGCTAGACTAAATTAATACTGTTTGGTCAGACTGCCTTTTGCCATCAGCTTTGTTTCTTCTCGGTTGCTTTGTTAGGTCTGGATTTTGACAGCTGGCTCAATGTACCTGGTTGGCCTCCATATGTTCCCGACCTCTCTGCTGGCCAGGAGCTGATGAAACCAGCAGAGCTGTTAGCTGAAATGTGGGTCAATCATAACCCAGACTTGGAATCTATCTACAAAACTGATATAAAACCGTGGAAGACCTACCAAACTGTCTACTTCTTGGACAAGATCCTTGAGAAGTCACCACTTCCAGATGGTGCAAATAACTCCTTGTGTTCATGGTTTATTGTTATGGTTTAAGTAGATTGTAAAATAAATATCCCCATATTAACAGGTCACATAAAGAAGCTGGAGGAGTGCTACTCGTACATTATTGAGTCCAACAATGCCGAGCTAAAATTGCGATGGGCCCAGATTGTTGCAAAGAACCAGCATAAACCAGGATTCCAACATATTCGCAATTTCCTCACAAGCCAGGTCAGAATCTGTACATAGTTATTTCTAATTTGTTAATATTAACATTTATTTATTTCTAATTCATTCAGCTCTTTGGACTAATAATTAGATCGCTTGTATGAAGAGAGATCGGTCAGACTGATTTTAATGTTTTGCTTCCAGGGGAAACAGAAGTACACATTACCAGTTTATCGGGCCCTTTGGAATGGATCAGAAGAGACAAAGACTCTGGCAATGGAAGTTTTCTCAGCCACCTCGAAACAGCTTCACTTCAACGTCCGCAATTATGTCAAAAAGATAATAGCTTGAGCATAAATGAAATAGGAAAATATAAGGGAAAACAATGTATGCAATGATCTGCTTTTAAAAGCACCCGGGTATCTTAAAATTATGGGGCTTTGAGTATTGACTTAACAATATGTATTAATTATTCAGGAAATTGAATTATGGTTTTTTGAATTTGTGAATTATATTTGTGTTTTTACTAAATCAAATATTTTCCAGGCATTTAATTACTTCCACATTTTTACGTTTTAAAATGTATTGCATTTTTTATATAAATAAATATATTACATTTGTAAACAAAAAGAAATCAGAGGACATTTATTATTTGCACTTTAATTTTAAACAGTTAATTTTAAATTAATTAAGTGTTAGAAATCAAGAAATCATTTAATTTTGTTTGTTTGCTTTTAATTTATATATTAAATGATTGAATTTCTGGACAAATGGAAATTCAAGGACTTTTATTTTTATCTAGTTTTGTGGGTTTCCGGGTTTCACTGAGACAGCCACACGCAATGTGGATGGGATTACGCAAAACGGAATGCGTTGGTCGAATCGTTCTGTTATGCGCAATAACTGCGCAGCGTTATTCGCCTCCAACACAGAGTCCTCAGTCTGCATGTTCATGGGTGTGCCGACGAATGTTTAGTCTGAAGATTCGTTCTGACTGAACCTCCTTGTAGACGCACATCAGCCGTCATGAGTTACGCGATTGTAAGTCATAACGCTTTAAAGAAGTACTCTAAACTTTAATTGAAGCAATTAACTATTATTTAGAGGACATACTGCTTTGGCATTCCACCAAGTTTGTTTAACATAGCATAAGCTTATCAGTTTATCAGCACACACTATTGACTAATCATGCCATTAACTCAAAGACAAGCTAAGAAAGTCGTTTGTATTAAAATTACAGTTGTGTCTTGTAGAAAACTAGATCAGCAGACAGTTCTTGAAATGGGATACTAAAGCAGAAACGTCAGAGTTTATTCTGGGAAATACAGATGGTTCTTTCAGGCATTTGAGCGGAGAATCTTTGTCACGTTTCCCTTGTATATTGCAAATCATTGAATTCATGTTTG